CTTACTCCTCCATGGCATCTGATCCCACCTCTGATTTTTTAGGGGACCTGTTTGCTCTGCTTACAATTTGTAAGGTTATTTCGATGGGCTTTTGAGCTTCATTACTGTTTGTTGTTGTCGTATTTTACGTATAAAATATTTCTAAAAACGAATTTTACCTCGACATTGAAGATACTCTTTTGAAAAAGGGGATAAATATATTGCATACCGTGATTAAAACTTGAAATTATCGTTCGTGAGATCATTTTTGATTTTTGAATTTTCCCTGTAACTTTAATCATTATATAACCCTATTATGGAATGATTGCATAGTAATGTAAATAATTGTGAAACTGTTGTTCTTTAGGAGATATTTAAAAATTCTACCTATACCTGTATTTTCCAATATAAAACTAAGGACCGGGGATACTTTTTCATATACATGTACATGTAATATAGATGCTGCGTTTTTTTTTCTTCATTTTTAAAAAGTTCATGTTAAGTGTTAAAAAGATATCTCAAAATATTAATATTTTGAATCAGAGTTTTGTAAATGTTTGTGCCTTGGATTTAGAATAAATCGGCTGCGTTAAAATTGCACCAGGATAGGCAAAACTATGTCAGGACAAAGAAGTAATGAAGATTGTATGAAGAAGATTCTGATTGATATGGTTAAGGATGGTAGGGGAAAAATTAAAGAGACAATTTATGGTGATTATACAATGTACATGGATTTGCTAGGTGTATTTCTTTCAAAAACAAATATACGAGGGTTGTTAGAAAAGTTCGCGGACACATTGATTTACGGAAAATTTATTGTGTACTGTGAAGTATGACTTATGTCTGATTAAATTCCTATCTTTTGTTTATTAGTATATAAAAAATCATGTCCATTTACTAAAATTTTGAAAATTTACAATTTTTACTATGCGGTCATAGGATTCACGGAGCAATCAATTGACGTTAAGTGACGTGACAATCAGATTTCAAACCCGTTAAGCTTTTCCATAGTTCTGAATATCTTTCATTTCTTTCGACTTTTCTTGTCTTTTTTCTACTTAAAAGTTAAATATCTATATCAAGACATGTTACTTTTCTTCTATAATGTCTTTTGTGCTGTTTCGAATATTAGTGAGATCTTGAAATAATACTCTACGCAATTAAGAGATCAGGTATGGAAACGATGCAAAATCCATAGGCGCAACGTCTATGCGATAAGTGGGGTATTGAGGTATCGATGGAGTTGATCACTAAAAATGTTAATCCTTCCATTCTTATATAGCTACTACATTTTGAATACTTTTGTCCTTTGTACGTGAAGGCAATTTCCAGCACAATTTAGAAGCATTCTAGTTTATTTTAGACATTTTCCGTATGCACACATCATTTTTAGTAGCTCGGTGCTCCATGACGTTCCATGATGTTCCCATTCTTGGCTTTGTTTTTACCCGTTGATTATTTCTAAATGGCTAGAAAACAGTCATACACCCTCCAATTTAATTCAAATTTCGGCAAGTGACTATTCATGAATACAGTAGCGACAGGTAAAATATCATAATTCTTTCTACGCTACAACTGTGCAATTTTTGATTTCAATAAAAAGTCTATGTAATGTAAACGTGCGAAAAAGTAGCATGCTCCGTAAAGTATGTTTTATCAAAATAATATAGCTGTATAATTTTTAAGGATCACCGGAAAACACCAAATCTTTGTATATTTATTGGAAAATAGGTAAAGTTTTTACCTGAAGAGTTTAACCGCTTTCATGGAAATAGCGCGCTCACAATAGAACTTGTCCGCGAACTTTTCTAACAACCCTCGTACATGTATATAATAATGCAAGAAAAAGAAAAAAAAATACTTTCATATTTTTCGTGTTATTGTTATGTGGTATGGTGAACAAAAGTAGTCTGAGGAAAGTTATAGTTAAAACAACTGAAATATTTAAGTATGGATTGATATATTGCTTATAATGTGAGGTGTTTAACTAAATCATAGACGCGCTGCGTCAAACCTAAGACAAACATAGGTAGTGACTGTTCCTTCGCCGATTGACCGGCAATGAAAATGAAAGTCAGAGTTTTTCGTTTCGGATGAGAACTTAAAAACCGAAAACTCGTGTCACGGTAGGCGCTTTCACAATAAAGAACCCTCACTGCTCAATGGCCCTGAATGCCAAGTATAAGGTCAATTTGAAGCCCTTCACCGGCATACGGCATATATTCTATATGTGATTTTTTTTCGAATGGGACGTTAAACAACATATAATCAACCAATCAATCTTTCCTCTTTAAATTCATTAACTTTTAGTTTGTTCAAAATACTTTGATGCATGCCAAGTATTGAAAATAAATATTTGGTAAAGAAAGCTTATTAATGCTATATAGTCAATATGAAGTCATAATTTACGTAGTGAATGTAGTTAATATGGAAAGCGATGAAAGAAATAGCTCAACAACGATCAAAAAAGGCACTGCTATTAGTTCTAGATTTTAAAAAATTGAATTATAAGATTTTTTATTTGAAGAGAAAAAGTGGTTAAATTTAATTTTGTAATAATTTTTTCAAGTTACAGATACATGCATATATGTCATTCAAAGTTTCATATCGCTTGTTATTCAATATGCTTATCATCGCCACTACGGTAATTAAAGCTCTATAATATAATATATAATAGATATAAAACTTCAAACATTTCATCAATTTAGAATGAAATAGTTCACAATTTACATATTTACACATTGATGATTATGTGATAACAGTGAAAAGTGCGGGGAATGTTAAGGGAAAAAAAACTTTCTTGAAAAAAACTGGACAAGAATGCATTGCTGGTAAGCAGATATGAATTTTTATCATATAAAGATCTCAGATGTCTACGCCTGACACCGGTCTTATGAATATAATTGAATATTGATGTTTGACAAGGTTTTTGAACGGTGTTTTATTTCACATGGTTTGTAAGGTCAATATATGTAGGTCGAGTTGTCGGGGCTGCCACACTGCATTTTATTTGACTTTATTAATTCCCACTTTCCCTTTGAAAAATGTTTGGCTTATTACATGTATCAGAATATCAGAACGTTGGATAATAAGAAAAAATAAACATCTATGTGTCAAGATTTTTATTCTCTATTGAAATATAAGCAAAGTAATGGGTTATACCACATAGATATATATACATGCCAACATTTTTTTCTTAAGAAACACAAGACATACTTTTGATGTTCATAGCCATTCTCACATTATTTAATCGTACTCACTTTAGTAGTTATCATATTTCAGTGCCTTTTGTTAGTGTCCGCTAATTCTAGAACACGCTAGTTAAAGTACATACCGAAGCTTGGCCCCAGATTATCATTACGCTTTTCGTTGATCAGGAAGTTTGCGCTGAGGTTTGAGTGCGCACTGATGTACGTTTACAGTAATTTTTTTTTTACCATTTCCTTTCTCTTAATTTTTCTTTCAAAGTAATTAATTATTCATTGATCAACACGACATCAATTGATTAATTGTTTGTATGTTGTTTAACGTCCCATTCGAGAATTTTTGATTCATACAGAAACAGACCTATACTTGGCACTGAGGGGCCATCCAGCAGTGTGGGTTCTTTATCATGCAAACGCCTACCGTGACATGGGACCTTGGATTGCAAGGTCTCATCCGATCCGTGACTTTCACTCGCTTGACGAGGAAACAGTCACTCTGTTTACGTCTAAGGTCTGACGCAACGCGGCGAACGAGAATCGATCCTGCGCCTCCCTATCACGAAGCGAACGCCCTACCGCTAGGCTACCGTGACCGAAAACAGTTAGAGTGTAACATTTTATCGTAGATTTGTTTGTGATGAGTCTACTGTTTTACTTCATTCTATGAGCTTTATGGTCATCTAAGCGCAAAAACGTAAAGAAATGAATGCGTAGACATTGGCTTTATGATCCTTTTTCCAAGCAAAAATGTCCTTTTAAACATCTTTTGATATTTTTTTTGCACATTTCTGAAACAACATTGATTGATTGTATAATGTTTTAGTCCCATTCGACAATTTTTCACTTACCGGTATATGGAGAGCTCACCATATACCGGGGAAGGGCTTCAAATTTAGACTCGGCACTTAGGGCTATCGAGCAGTAAGGTTCTTTAATCGTGACAACGCCTACTGTACGCTTGATACGTGACCTTGGTTTTTAAGGTCTCAACCGAAAGACCCGTGACTTTCTCTTCTTGTGCCGTTTGGCGAAGGAAAAGTCATACACAACAAGACTAAGTATGTTTACGTTTTAGGTTTGACGCGTCACGGTGAACGGGAATCGAATCGGGGCCTCTCGATCACAAATCTAAAATAAAATTTTATCTTTCAGAAAGTTATCCTTTTAAAAAAGAAATAATTCTAACAATCGTATACCTCTTTATCGTAAAGCATCATTATATGCTTATTTTTTTTTTTACCATTTTCACAAAACCGACATCGAAATCGATTGACCAATTTCACAAAGAAATGAATTTAGCTTTTTTAATGAAACTATTGGTTAGTGCATCATCTGCACATTTTTCTAAACGGATTTTAAAAATTGTTTAGAACAATCATAATCTTTTGGAAATTTTGCTATTCAAATTTTGTTTGCCATTACATGACGTATTGCTATGGGCAAATAAAAATTACTGAAAAAATTGAGAAAACAATTGATTTAAAACTTTTCGTGCTACAGACTACACAGTTTTAATCTTCAATACTACATGTGTGCAACATCTCTAGAAAAGTTTAAATGCTGAAATAGAAATCTTTGGCCTTTATCTGTAATACTGATATATTTCCCCACAATTGACTGTCTTAACGATTTGTTCACTGTAACTGAATAGTTTTTAAGAATTATCTAAAAGAATTACTTTCCAAGTTCAATTCATTTTCTGTAGTGAAATAGTGCACACCGTTTGTACTTGCAACAATTAACACCTTTACTCAACATACAAGCAATGGAAAATGTTTTTTTTCGAGCAGAAAGTTAGAAATTGTTTTTACAAACCTTTACTGATGTAACCCGTAGTTTCAGAAGCAACACAGGCATTGGAGTTCTGGTTGGTGGTGATTGTACTGAAACCTGTGCTGACTGTGGTCGTTGTATCGATGTTATAACACGTAGTAAACAAGCCAATGTTGGCTTTGGCCACTGCCACCACGGTGGCGGGCAAACCTGACACGGTGGTCGACACGGTGGTGCTATAGGCATAATCTATCCAGTAATCTTCTAGCAAGCTCATAATACCCACCCCTAAAGACACACTTACACAAACAATCCCAGAAATGATTAGAACAATTATAAGAATTTGTGCTGTTTCCATTTTGTTTGGCTGAATACAGTTTACTGATTTTTTTCTCTATATCTGTATCCTTTGAACCCAAAATAAAAAATGGCGTGTGAAATGAAATTGGGAACTAGTTTTGTTTATTTATTAGACTGTTTATAAAAGGAATCAGAGATTTCTATTGAGTTCTATAGTGACATCTTATTCAGATGTCTTAATGCACATAATGCGATGGGTACACACTCGCCTCTTTTAACTGCAAACACTATACGTGAAAAGATAAGCGGCTGTTATTTTTCCTATGAAAAATCAGATTTGTAATGATTTAAGTAAACAAAGATTTCTTGTTTTTACACTATGGGGACTAACCTCTCCCCTTTGGGTAGCTCTAGAATTCAAAAGATTCTTTTAAGTCTTAAGACCTTAGTCAAGCAATTTAGATGGTTCTTATTTAAAGAGCAATAAATGTAGATGTTGTCATTTGCAGATAAGTGGAGGTTGAAGTACTTAAGGAGTTTTATATATATATAAGAAACAGTGAAACCATTACAGATATAAATTACAATGGTTTTAGCTAGAAGTACCCAAAATTTATTAACAAACAAACTCTGTAATATGTGTCAGCTAGAAAAAAGTTTGATGACGGAGCCTATCTCTTCCTTGTGAACTCAACAGAGCTATTTACAGGGCTCGGTAACAACTCACATTACAATTAATGGTACTAAATTCCATTGCATTTAACCACACTTGCAACACAGATAACATAAAAAGTGCATATTCCTCTCCTGTGTATATTAGTTTTGTTGAGGTATGGACACACACTGAGTACAAATGTGACTCAACACGAACTTGACTTGAACTTCTTGTTGATTTATTCATATTCATAATCTTATAATGTGATGGATCTCATCATATCGTATCAAACATAATTAATTTACTTTTCAAAACTTGTTTATGATGTTTTTGAGAAACAAATATGTAAACCAAGTAAAAAGTGAGGCATCTAAATGTCTTAACTGATAAATAACTACGATTTTAACTGAGGCGTGACTATTTTGTAGAAAAAATGAAAATCGTGCTCATACTTTAGGAAGAATAAATTTCTATTTTTTCTTTGTGTTTGTGTTCTCTATGCTTGTACTAGATTAAAAACTCAGAAAAAATTACACTGTTTGCCACGTTTGACCCTGGAAAAGCGTGAAATACGAGTAAGTATGGCGTCTGCAGGGGGTTCCTTTGGAGAAAATTGTAATGAAACTTAATTTTATTTATAAAGCACAATTTCCAACAACTTTTAAACTAATATAACTGCCCTAAGTGAAGAAATATTAATATATAAAACACAAAGAAATTCACTTTTATAAGGATATCCACTTCCGCCCAGCCTGGGGTTGAACTTTCGATCTACGGAATCTGTCTCCTAGCAGTACAGGAGCAGCGCGCTAGACAGCTCGGCCATCTAGGCAAGTCAAAGTAACTCATTCTGTATCTCATAACTGTATCCATTCCCACTTCTATTCTCAATGACCATGTATAGTATAGGGCGGCGCCGCAAGAATTCCATCGGCATCGAAAGCAAGTTTTTTGACTTGCCTAGATGGCTGGGGCGGAAGTGGGTATCCTTAAAAAAGTGAATTTCTTTGTGCTTTTTATGTTAATATTTCTTCACTGAGGGCAGTTATATTAGCTTAAGGTAGTCCGATCCTCGGGTTCTGAAAAATCAGCTTTTAAGTAATTTGAAAATGCTCACAACAATGTCTCTGTTTTCACATAGTAACATGAATTTACCCATGGAATTTCTTCAAAGTTCATCATTATAGTTAATCATATTTTAAAGGGAAAATTATCAAATCTCAAATACATTTTCAGGAAATGCGAATAAAAACACCAGCTATGCATTTTCTAATTGAAAATGGATCAACAAATATAACTTAGGGTAGAAAAATATAGTTATCTAGGCATTTGGAGAAAATTGCATCTTTTTTATGCTTGTACAATATTTTAGTTCTTCTTTTTACTTCAATTGTCATATAATACATAGTGTAAAAAGCTTGTGCTATCATTGATAGACATTACATCTAATTTCATATCATGCTAATAAGCAGTGGTATCTATAATGCTAGAATAAAGGAAATTCGATTTCTCTAAAAATAAATTCATCTTTTTTCTTTTATGGGGTACAAATGTTAACTTTTTACAAGACAGTTTCTAAGAGTTCAAAGAACCTTGAATCATATTAAGATGCATAAAATGGAAATTGTCGCACGAAAAGATCTCAATTTCAAGCTTCATTTTAAGACTTTTTGAATAAAATAATAAATTTAAGAGTTATCCTTCCTGGCTGAGGATCGGATACCCTTAAGAGTTGTTGTAAAATGTGCTTTATAAATAAAATTAAATTTCATTACAATGTGTATCGGTAACGATCCTCTAATAAAACTAATGTCCAAATAACTGTATCTCACTTCCATTCTTAATGACAGTGTAGTGTAGGGCGGCGTCGCGAGAATTCCATCGGCATCGAAAGCAAGTTTTTTTGACTTGCCTAGATGGCCGAGCTGCCTAGCGCGCTGTTCCTGTATTGCTAGGAGACAGATTCCGTAGGTCGAGAGTTCAACCCCAGGCTGGGGCGGAAGTGAGTATCCTTATAAAATAAATTTCTTTGTGCTTTCTATATATTAATATTTCTTCTCTTAGGGCAGTTATATTAGTTTAAGAGTTGTTGTAAAATGTGCTCCATTATGGAAATTGGAAATTTGCCGCCTCCAACCGGAGGCGGCATTCTCGGATCGATTTTCGATTTATCGAATTAAATGTCTCACTCACGTCTTATCATCAGTACAAGGCTTCTAGTACTTACCAAAATCGCTTTTATTGTTCCTTTGTAATAGAAAGTTTCTGGTGAAAACATTTTATCAAACTGTCGAGGCTTATTTTGATTTCGTGCATTTTAAATCTCGTGAGACCTGTATCGAAATATGGAGCGATATTTTCGTAAAAGCCATATTGGTGAGAACCAGAAGCATTGTGTTATTGATATATTATGAGTTTGACATTAAATTTGATTTTTAAATATCAAAAATCGAGTTCAGTCGGGACGGCGAAATTTCCATTTTTCACAAGGGCGCCGGTTCTGACATTTTCCTGGCACGTCAAATATCACCATGTGAAAATGCCTGGAAAACGTCAGATATTTCGGACAATAATGAGGCTTGATCCGAAAGTAATGTCTTTAGTGCCATAAAATCTTCAATGATAGGAAGTCAACAAATTTTTATACACTTATACCTCTATCTATTCAATTCAGATATAGAATACTTTTTAGAATTTAGAATGAACAAAAAGTTCGTTTACGTCTATCGCCGCACGACAACACGTTACCGACGTCCAGATGACGTTATTTTTTGTTACTTAATTATTTTCAGTTCATCCATATATCTTCTAAACTCTAACACACGTTTATTTCGATGATCTTTACAAATCTTTACTGTCTTAACCATCTTGCTTTGAGTTGTTTTGTTAAAATCGTTTGAACTTCCATTTCAATAGTCATTCCTTAATGCAAGAGAAAGTGTGTTAAATGTTTACAAATCCCTTCTTATCATCTTCTTCCTGTGTTAAAATGTTGTAAGGGTTTTATCCCGACTAAACGCTAAAACGCAACGTCAGACACTTTTACTACGGTTATAGTAATAAACTTTATAAATATAAAAGGTTACATAGATACGAAGAAGAGCTCTATGTCACTTACTCTTACGGTGTGAAGTCAACGAACAGTGATCAATGAATTCCAGTACAGAAAAATAATCGTGAACAGGGCAAAAACACGGACCTCTCTCTGAAAACACCAGAGGTGGGATCAGGTGCCTAGAAGAGGCGAAATAAAGCCCATCTCAGTGTCGATACGATTTTCGTTTCCGTTATACCTTTCGATTTTTCCCGTAGTTTGATCCCAATAGCTTTCTTACTTTTTCGGACACTTGCTGAAATATGATATAATTAGAAGCCTTAGTATATAAGCTATTGTCACATGAATCAAAACCTCAAATGTGCTTAATTTTGAGAGCTGAAAACCAACTGTTACTGCTAATTTAAATTCACGACGGGGCAAACATTTTTTTTGGATTGAATGCGTGTCGTTCCAATCAAATTCTGATTGGTAGCAAAGCAAGCACATACCTTTTAATTATTAAAGTTTAATTATAATGATCGTATTTCTATTATTGTCATGTAATGCTAGATCGTGACCACCTGTCATTGTAAATCAGTGCATTTGAAATTTTTATGACGATTATGGTTTCCTTTTGTACTGTAGGGTTCTGATGGATCTACGTTTGTGCATAGAAAGTTTGTGCAAGAATACTAACTGAAGAAATTTTTCTTAGTGTCGATAATTCTATTTATACTGATAATTTACTTTTAAAATACTTTCTTCATTAAACTGGAATCATTCAATTAATTGGAATCAATAAAAACTAAACAATGTTCTTCTTCAGAACGGTATTATGTCCTTCTTCAGAACTGTATTTTATATATATATATATATATATATATATATATATATATATATATATATATATATATATATATATATATATATATATATATATATATTACTTCCACCTTCTACTGAGCTTCTACTACTTCTACTACTATTGAAAATTAAGAAAAAAGGAAAACTGTGTTGAAATTCCGTCAAAATGTCCACATGTTTACCTTATTCAACCTTAATCCACTCAACTGGTTGACAAGATTTTCAAATATAAAATTTAACAATTGGTCTTTAGCGTTTAGAAACTTCTTTTATCTGGAAATTATTAAAATTACGAATTTCGGGACGCGTTAGATGGACCAACATTCTTGCGCTTTTACGTAATAAACTTTATCCTTAATATTTATTTAAGAAAAATAATAAATTTGTTGTGTATGAATGAAAAATATTAAAACTTTAATCAAGTAAATTCAGTAGAAATGTGAGAAAGAAAACCAACTCACCAGTATTGTCAGTCCATACTAGTGATATGTGCAGAGTAAACAAATTTTACACACCCGGAAAAAACATAAACATTAACAATAGCATGGCTCATGCCCGTGTTTTAAAATACAGATGTTTGACGTGATGTTATGAAGAATGCCGTTGTTATTGAATTCTAAGAATTTTCATATAAGTTCAATTCATTAAACTAAAGTTGTTTTTTTTTTTTGAATAAAAATAGAAATTTAAAATTGTAAACAAAAATGCAATACAACTGTGTCCAAGTGCACAATGTCACCGTGTTTTCTTTCTTCCTATTTTGTGATCGGCTTCGGGCGATCACTGCTATTTCCATATCAGATATCCGGCAAATGTAACCATTTGCATAGACATGAGCGACGGACTACTTTGTTTACTATGCACTGACAGCTTCATGTAAATCGATAACACGTTAAGTACTATGTTGAATTAGGTTTAAGCATTCACTTGGAGATTCATTTACATGGTGAATAGACAAATTACGTTTTTCTTCATATGCGAAAGTATTTCATTAACTTCCGGAACGGAAGTACACCCATTTCCTTTAGAGTAAACTTTCTTCGTTCATTTGTGTTTTCATTTATTAGTTAATTGACTGTTCTGTTTATTCTGTACCATTACGTAGGACACAAGATGACAACTGAATATTTTACTTCCCGATCAGTTATGAAAGGAATACTTTTTTTTCTTTCTTTGTTTGTTTTTTTTAATTTCTGTCTGTGGAAGTTTAATTTTATATATTGTTTTTGGCTTCATATGAATTTCTGAAATATTTGTCATAAAATATTAGTTTTACTGTTTATACTTCTCTTTAATATCAAATATGTTTGAGAGTAAACTTTGAAAATATTGTACCTATGGTGAGGACATTGAAAAGGTTCCTGGCTTTCTTATAGAATTTTTCAAGAACTCTTGGGTCGATGTAAAGTACTAAACATGTTATAATTTGGTACATTTAACCCACCAAGCCACCCTCCCTTTTTAGATTTCGTCAAATCAATGTTTTTACTATTTTCAATGCATTTCCTATGTAAAATGTTGATAAAAAGGACCTACATGATTTTTCATCATAAGATTTTCCAAAACCCTTTTATTTTAGAAAAAGTTTAATTTTTTTTTACATTATTGTATCCGCATTTCCTATGGCATCTAAATAATTTGGCTGAAAATGTAAATATAGAAACAAAACCAGATATACCAGCACCGTTCTTTATTTTTGAGTAACTTCCCTTAGGATCTTACTATTATTCATGATGGTAAAGTTGATGGTTGACTGTTGATATAAAATTTCTATTATTAAATTTACTTTATTCGAAAAAAATTATCAGAAAAATATTGGCATAGATTTGTTTTTAATTTGTTGCAATAAATGCATGGTACCTCGTTCACAAGACCTTTAGGAACTGTTCTCAGCATCTGTTACATCTTTGCCCGTAGACCGCGTGGCGCAGTGGTTAGTTTGTTGTTTAACACCCCTCTCGAGAATTTTTCACTCATATGGAGACGCCACCGCTTGCCAGTGGAGAGCTGCAAATTTTGACCTATACATGGTACTCAGGGCCTTTGAGCAGTGAGGGATCTTTTTCGTGCCAGCATCTACTGAGACACGGGACCTCGGTTTATACGGTGTCATCCACGTCCCACATCTTTGCCTTTCCCAGCATAGCTACGTACGGTAAATAACAATCTGTTGACTGTCTTCTGGACAGTGTGCAACAAAGCAATTATGCATTTTTTTTTATCTTGATGTAGAGATGATTCTACCCGTTGAAGAAAGCACACTTACTTTTTTTTTTTTACCTCTGTAATCTATTGGTTTTCACCGCGAGGAGAGTTCTGCAAGGGAGATCACTCTCAATCACCGATTTATAATTAAAAAAAAACCCATGTATTAAACTATTTTTCTCAGGAAACCGTGCCTTGCAAATGAGAGGTAAAGAGGTTTGTTCCTGAGCTTTTGAGCAAATTTTTGTCTGGACCCCTATTAAAAAAATTCTGCATAATGTTTTAGTTTTTGCAATAAATTTGGATTCTACAATGCTTATGAAACTATATTTAATTAAAACGCCATGATTAAATTCCATATCGAAAGAATTAAGTGAGGAACTATATCTTGTGGCAGAAGGTTTTTTTTTTAAGAAGAAAATGATCATTTTTTCTTTTTGAAGTATTAATAGTATTGTTAAATTTTGATTCTTTTTTTTTA